GAGAACGAGACTAACAACAACCTACCCCGAATCGTGTCCTTGGCCTCCTGGAGTTTACAGTTTCGTCAGGAGAAAATCTCATTTTTTAAAAACAGGAAATTGTAAAATTAATGAGCTTTATAAACAGAGTTGCCAGATTTAGCAAATAGAAATACAGGATGCCCAGATAAATTTAAATTTCAAATAAACAACAAATAATGTTTTAATGTAAGTATATCCCACGCAATATTAGAGACATTTATATTTAACAATGTTTTGTTGTTAATCTGAATTTAAATTTAACTGAGCATCCTGCTTTTCTCTGATAACCTTATTTATAAGGAAAAGTACATCGTGACAGGAGAGGGAACGTTAACCTCACAAGAGAGGTCTGGGGGCTTCCACAGGGAGGGAGGGCTGGACTGAAATCTGAAGGTCATAAGGAGTTAACTTGGTGAAGGCAGGTTGGTGCAGGTGATGAGCCTGCCTTAGCAGAAGGAGACTGATGCTTGAAGGCTGCTAGGATGGGAGAGGTTTGGGGGTTATGCAAAATGAGGTGGCAGAAGTGAGCAGGGACCAGAGCATCCAGAGCCATGAAGGCCTTGAAAGTTAAGGTCTCCAGCCTTTATCCCTCTAGACCGATTGGTCATATATGATGCTCCTTCTGCCTATGCCCTTCTTTTTTTGAAACCATCGACATAACTGTCTCCAGAGTCCTTTCCCACCACCTCCTCCCTCACTCCACCTCTGACTCTTACCAAAGAAGTTAGTCATCTTTAAGTCTGTCTTGCCAGCAAGAATGTGATTTCTCCAAGGGCTTCGAGTAGATACTCAATAAACATTAAAGAGAACAACACAGCTTCGAAAGTCCACATGTTCTGGATCCCTGCCTCACTACCTAGTGCCAGTTCAAGGGCTCCTGCAAGTGTGGTCCCCTAACGATGACATCCAACCCATATTCTGGGTTGGCATATTCTGGGCCCACCTTCTGAACCTCTCACTTACAATGTCTAGGACAGGGCTCAGAATCTCCATTTGAACAAGCTCCCCAGGAAAGTATGACACACCCAAGTATCTGAGAACCACTGGTCTATTTGGCTATTTCAGGATTCTAGTTCACAGGATTTTCAAATAGTGGCAAATGACAAGAGAAAGCACTTGGCCTCATTTGTCATAAATCTCGCTGTGCTCTTGAATTGTAAGAGGGCCCAAGCGCTGTGAGAAGACTGAAGCCATCAATATAGTTCTTAGTGTTCGGTCTTACCCATTTGTATCACATACTGCCCAGGGGAAAAGATATAGCAAGCACGGCGTGCATTCGGTGGTCAACAGAAAACATGTTGTCATATTAATCAATTTGAATATCTGCTTTACATTAAGCTGAGATTATTTTTCAAATTTGGTCATTTAAAAATCTCTTCATATATACTATCAATGGCATAATACAAAATCTAATAGACCATTTACAAAAACAGAGTCCACAGCTCCATGTAAAATTTCAACATATTAATCAAAAACACTTCTTATATTCTACTGATAAGCAAAGTTCAAATTTGAAATATAACTCATCATATATTTCTGTATTTCATGGAGGGAAAGAGTAGAACCAGAAAGGACCAAAGCATCCAATCCACCCCTCTCCATTTATTTCACTTTCTTCAATTCTTCCCAATAGGGGAAGCCATCATGATATGCAACTACTACTGACTGTCCCTAATTACAAGGGGGTGTTTGTGATAAAACTAAATGGTGTCTTTATACCCCCTTAAGACATAGTTCCAGCAAGAATTAAAACAGTGACTTCAAACCCCATTGTTGTTTCAGCTGTGTCAAATAAAGAAAGAAGCTCCAAATTCAATCCACTGTAGCTTTTTACACTGGCTACCCAAGGGGCTGCAATTGAAAAAGCAAAGCACAAACAAAAATAAGTTTGCAATGTTGTACCAAAACTGCGCATAGCTAGGGGCTGTCTCTCCCAGGTTTACAGCCAGACTTCATCTAAATGATGAGTTTGTGTCAAATGGGCAATGACACGCATGTTGTCAACCCTGCGTCAGACAGAAACCTCAGCAACACGCAAACAAGAAGCACTGGGGAATCGTGGCTTTTCTCCTGATCCAGCGCAGAGAATAAAAAGGGCATTTTAACTTTCACTGTTCACAGAACTCTATCATGGTGCATCAGTAATGCGAAAAACAACAGAGTGAGCTGGTTAGGAAGGCATTTTGGCGAATTAGATTTTTTTATTCACGAAATATACCATCAACAAGTCCACCTCAGAGTAAGAGCTAACATCCCCAATTACAGGAAATGGATTTTCTGGTACTCGCGGTCATGTGATATACTGCACATTATGATGCCTTTGCGATAATCTCCTTGATGGCAACTGCATCCTGCTCTCCGAGGTACCTTCCACACTTAAGGAGCAGGATGGGGTTAATAATGAGTAGGATTTTAGCTAAAAGCTCCTAGGCTCGTCTGCTGCTCAGACCAAAGAAACTACTTTTACTGTCATTGGGTCCTGAAAAATGAATTTGATTTCTTTACTACATCACTAAAAACACTCAGATGTAATCCAGAGCTTTTTTTTTTTCCTACAGACAGTCAGCAGCTAATGGCATCTGATTTTATATTAGACTGTAAGGAAAAGTCTATTGTCTGCATTTTCTGACGTTGAAGGCCAAATTTCATTAAAGGAACAGTACTGGGGGAAGTCTCCAGAATTTTGTAAAAGATAAAATTGTTTCCTTTTCCCTTAAAAGGACTTTGTTTCATAATATTTTCCATTCATAGAGAATTTGTATGTCCAAAGCTCTCTGAGACCATCTCTTTTGTCCTCTGAACTACTTTGTAACGAGAGTACTCTGAGCTACTTTTCACATTTCTCAAATGTGGAGGATGAACCCACGAGGGTAGGTCACTTGCCCAAGGTGACAAGAACACAATCCTTGGGGCCTGGGGACGAGGATCTCAGTCTCAGGGCTCTGTGGCAACTGCTTTCCTCTTTCCTTCCTCGCCTCCCTTTCCCTTCTTTCATTCCTTTTGCCAGACAGACTGCAGACTTGCGCTCATTCAGTAAAGCCAGGAGGAAACCCTTGGCTATCAGGTTTCCAGAGAGCAGGGTCTTTTTAAAAAACAAATAAAATAAATAGAATGAAACTTGGTTTGGGCTTTTTATTTTCTACCAGGGAATGCATTTGTAGCACTGTTTTAACGCACATTTTTATGTTATAAAAGAGGAATGTGACAGACCGCTTCGTAAGCCGTTCTCAAGCCCCACTTAGAGGCCGGGCCTCCCGGCAGAACTCCTGAAGAATGGTGAAGGAATGGGTTAGCACTACAGGATCTCAGGAACCTCCACATCCGAGCTTTCACGCGAAAACCCGCCTTGAGCACGAGGCCCTTTGAAACTGGCCACTGAAAATGAGGGAATGCCGAAGAGAAGAACGTCAAATTCTCCTCCAGGGCTAGGGCTCGGAATTAAACCGAAACAACTTTCTCGCGCTGTCAGTCAGCTAAGAACGCAGGAAGGAGGTCCCGCGAGAAAGGAGACCATCAGGGCATCCCTGTCTTGGCGCCTTAAAAGACGCCGCATCTCTTGAGGTGCCCCGGGGAGCGCCCGGCGGCTGCGGCGCCTTCCCGGCACTGCGGCGCACTGCGGAGCCGCCCGCAGCCCCAGCCTGCCGGGCTTTCCTCGCCGCCCCACCGCCGCCGCCCGCCCCCGCCACCCCGCCAGGTCGCGGCTGTCTGCTCCGGGTGCGCAGCCGGGCATCCATCATCCCCAGAGCCTTTGACGCACACACGCGCTCTCGCAGGCAGGGACTCGGCTGCCTCCCCTGCACCTCCCACCCCCGCCTCCCCTGCACCTCCCCCCCCCCCCCGCCCCTCGTGGGTCTGCATTTGCATCACTCGCACACGTAGCGGGTGACGCGAGCGCCCCCCGCTAGGGCCGTCCAGGCGGCACCTCCAGCGCCTGTGACTCAGCCACACCCCCGTCCCCGCGCCGAGCGCCAGAGGTCCTGGTACGCCCACAGAGAAGCTCTGGGCTGTGCATCTGCGGGCGGGTGCCCACTGGCCCATGGCAAGTTCATCACCATATTCCGCAGTCCTCGAGGGCCCAGCCCGGGGCCGTCCCCGCGACACGCTGGAGAAGAGTCTTCCCAGTTCTAGAACCCAGGCGGAGGGGAAAGAGCTCACCCAAAGAAAGGGCCAAAGGGTTGGGTGACGGCCTCCACAGCCCCACCGCCACCTGCAATTACCCCGGTAGTCGGTCTGCTTACGGTGATGGCCCCTCTGCCCCCGGAGCCTCGCGCCCGCCGGTCCGTTTCGCCGCGCCCGGCGCACGGTCCGCGCTCGGCGGCCTTTTGCTGAATGGAGGCGTAGTGGAAGGAGGCGCGGGCACTTGGAGACGGCCTCCGCGCCGCGGGCTCCCCGCTCTCCTCCTTCTCTTGTTCTCACGTAGACACGAGACAGGGCTCTGGGGATGTGTGTGGAAGTGTTTCTAAATTCCTCGTGTTTCTTTCCGGCGCCCGCAGCGCCCACCGCGGCTGCCTCTGCTCTCCCACCACCCGCACGTCTGCAGAGGGATCCCCGCCGAAAAGTTGAGCCTAGGCTGGGGTGGGGGTACCGGTCCGACATCTGGCCGGGGGTCGCGGCTGCTTGTTTTGAATCAGCCTCCCCCTGCCCGTCGAACCACGCAGCAAAGGACCGTGGAGGTCCCGGCAGAAGGCGGGCGCTGCCCCCGACTCCCAGCTTGCTGCCCACCCGCCTCCACCGGGAATGCGAAATAAGTGCGCCCGCACCCCCTGACCTATCCCCGGGCAACCATCTGCCCTACCCGGACTTCTTGGGTCCTGCCCCAGCAAAGGCGCCCCGCTGGGCAGCTCCTGGCACCCGCGGCGGGCGGGGCAAAGTTGCGCTTCTACCAGGCAGCCAGAAGTTCCCCAGGCTGCCGCGGGTCCGGGAGGGAAATTAAGCAGCGACGGGAAATCCCGCCACCGCTGCCGGGGTCCCTCGCTCACCGCTCCGGCCGCCGGGGACCCCCTGCCCGGGGGGTGTCAGCGCCGCAGCCGCCGCTGCCGCGCGGGCGTCGCTCCGGCTCGCTCCCCGGGGCCGCCTCCGTCTGCCGCTCTCTCCTGCAGCGCGCAGAGTGGTGACTCCTCGGAGCGTGTCGGCGGCGAGAGGAGGGGCGGGAAAGTGGCTCGGGGCTTGCCCGCTGCGGTCCTCCGGCCCCTCCTCCGCCGCGCCTCCTCCCGCGGTGCTGCAGTGCCGGGCGGCGGCGCGGCGGGAGCCACGGCGCGCGGGGGAGGCGGGAGCCGCGCACGACTCGGGCGGGGCGGGCAGGCGGGCCGGGGAAGTCCGGGCGCGCAGCGCTGCGGCGGCGGGATGCGGGGGAGGGCCGGCCCCAGGGGGCGTGTGCCTTTGGAGAAGGCAGGGCTCCGAGTTTGTCGCAGGGGGGAGGAAAGGGGCACCAGTCTTCAGTGAGTCACTGAGTGTGACTCTGCGTTGCGCACCTGGGGATCGCGCCCGTGTCTGGTCCAGCGAGACAACAAAAATTCCGAACGCGGGTCCCGCTGGTGCCTGCCTCCTCCTGTCTCTGGGCCTGGGACTGAGCTGTTACCTCTGACCTGGCTTCCAGGGAGCACCAGGCGGGGCTAGGGCGACTTCCACCCGCGCCTGGCACACCAGTCCAGGGGAAGCTTGGGGCGCAGCAGGAGGAAACTTTGCCGGGTGTCTGGGTCTCCCCAGTGCCAGGAAGGACCAGACAGCCGGACTAACAAGCAGACGTTGGAAGTAGCCCTTCTGAGGGAAACTATCGATTTTTTTTAAAAGGCCACGGGAATTTTGTTTGTATTTTTGGGAACATTTCGCCCCTTGGCGTGCTGGAGACCTCAACCTGAGCTTCCCGGTGGCAAAGCCGCGAGGCTCGGCTGCTCAAGAGAAACCTGGCCCCGCGGGGCCACACCCGAAGCTGGCGCGGCCACCCCGGGGCCACAGAGGAGGGCGACGCCTTCCGCTGGCCTCCCGCTGCCGCCCCTCGCTCTTCTCACCGCGCCTCAGCTCCACCTTCCCCGCGGCCACCTAGACGCCGCGAGGGGCTGGGCTTCCCTAGGTCGCTGGGCCCTCCTGGAACCCACGGAACCCTTCCGGGATGGAGAGCGGCCGCCCAGACAGGTGCCTTCCCCGCCATCACTGCCCGAGTGATAAGTGACCCGAAGCGACACAAAGCGAAGCGCCCATGCGGGCTGCAGTGGCTGGAATTCACACACACACACACACCGTGTGCTCTATTTGTGTAAATATGCCTGGATGATTGAATGGATGGGTGTGTGGATATAAATATAAATATTACAGGTCCATGTGCCAGAAAGAGGAGGTATCAGACACCTGGGGCAGCTTCCTGCCCGGAGAAGCCGATGGGGACAGGTTCACCCTGAGCGATGCTGTAACCGGAGCCCTCCGGCTTGGTTTGTGCCACTGTGCGTGGTACTGTGGAGAGAAGAACAGAGAGCCAGTCCCCGGCCTGTAAGGCCCCCTTCTCTCCACTAAGTTACGATTCCCGTGTCCCAGTGAGCCTGCGCTTGCTCCGTTGGTCTCTGAAAGCCCAGCGGAGTCTTGCTGGGTGAAAGGCTTTGCAGCTTGCAGCCACATGTGGCGCTGTAAGAGGATCAGGCAACATGAAAATTAGGGACCATGCTTATTTGCATTCCATGGATCCTTCTCTATAAAAGGATTACCTAAATTAAGAAATTATTTAGACTAAAATTATGTTGTTACCATGAGAAGGAAAATATACCCTGATGGAGTGCCTGTAAACCCAACATTGGAAATAAAATTGTGAAATTTAAAAAATCATAAATCCAGATTGCTTACATATTATATACAAAATTGTGAGCTCTCCACTGCAAAATGTGTGGGTAATTCATTGAGTTCCCAAATGGATATCCTCTTGACAACCTCCCTCCCCCCAAATGTCACAGAATAATGGATTGTTTCTCCAATGATAAAAGTTCAGAAAAACATGAACAAACCTTAAAAATGATCAACGTGCTCTGTGCTATGCTATCTCTTCCTTAAAGCATTCCCCTGTGCTGTCTGTGGAAGATATTTTAAAAAGTATATAAATTTTTCTAGCTACTGAATTTTCATGTCTTGATGCATTTGAAGATAACAGCTCCTTCAGGGAAATTCGTGACTGTGTGTTTGCAAGAAATGTCCACTTGAAGACTAGGTTGTGTTGAAGGAGGGTATTTTGATGTTGTAGCTTTGCAGCACAGCACATGTTTTCTCAGGATGATGTTATGCACAGCTTTCTCAGGCTGCCCTCCAGACCCGCTCCCATTCCAGGGTCCACCTGGTGCACCCCTTGGCCCCAGGCCTATTGGATCCAGCACTCAGAATAGCCTTCTTCACGCTTTCATTTAAAGATATGTTTTCTCTCCTAAAAATAGTTGTCTTATAGGAGCTGATGAAGGGTAAAGGGGATACCTGCCCTGTCCCCACAAAATCCCAGCACTCTAAAGTTGTTACCCTCCTACAAATCAGGAATTTTATTCCCTGGTGCAGTGTCTGGTCATAAAGCATGTCATTAAACACGCCTAAAGAGAATCAAAGATCTGTCATCACATCTGCAAAGTGGTTGCTATAAAAATAATTCATACTAGGTACAGATGCTGCAGTGTTTAAATTTGATAACACACACAAGAAGCATAGCGCCTAGCATGTAGTGGGCAGAGAGTAAACATGAGTCCCCTTCCCCTGTTAGTAGCCAGAGTGAGATTTCCTAAAGGCTGTGCCATGGAGAACTAGTCCTATAAGATGCTCCTGCAAGCTCAGAGTAAGGCCTGGCTTCCAGAACAGGAGTCCAGAGAGAGCCTCATGCACTTGAACCAAGGCCACCCCTCTCCATTCCTCCTCACCTCCACCATCAAGGGTCAACAGCAAAGCACAGACACCCGCCCTTCTTACGCCCGATACTCACAGCTTCCCCAACACTCCATGTCTTGAGCCTACCAATGTTAATCTCAGTAAGCCCCTAATGCCTATTTACATCAGTTACCACAATCAGCTCCAGAATCTCAAGTGCATTTCTTCTCCGGTACATTCTCGTGATCATAAGGCTTAGCACGTCCTATGTTCTGTCCCATTCTCCCTATTTAACTCCTGAAATCCTTCGACTAGGCCTTCTGGAATGCGCAGCCCACCGTTAGCAAAATGTCCTGTGTCCTCAGCCTCTTCTCTGAATGTTCCCTTTCCGTCCTGCTCCAATGAAAGCCTCCCCACAAAGAGGCTGCTTTCCGCCGGCCCTCTCAAGTGGCGGCTATTTATTTCTTCTCTAGCTCTTGGAGCTGGAAAGGTGGTGTCCTTGTTCCTCATTGCTGCTTCTAGAACATTTTTTTCCCTTTTCCCTGAAACCCACAGCTTTGAATCTTGCCTCCTCAGGTTATCTCACCTACTACTTTTAAATGGTGCTGTCATGCTCAGACCTCCCACTCTGCACCTCTCCTGACAATCTCAGCCCTTGACGCAAGGTTACACACTTAACACCAATCCTACCTTAATCCTTGCAAACTTAACATACACAAAGATGTTCATTCCAACCAGTACTGCCCTTAGTCCTCTGCAAGCAAGGTCCCTGCCCCCTCACTGCACACCCTGTGTCTGAGGGGGCTTGTGCTTTAGAATTAGCTTGTGCATAAGGTCCCATGGCATAGTGGTGAAGTTCAGCATGCTGTGCTTTGGCGGCCTGGGGTTCACAGGTTCGGATCCCAGGCACGGACATACACCACTTATCAGCCATGCTGTGGTAGCAACCCACATATAAAATAGAGGAAGATTGGCATAGATGTTAGCTTGGGGTTAATCTTCCTTGGCAAGAAAAAAAGAATGCCTTACTTAAAAAGTTTTAAGTTCCCTCTCTGGTGGCTGGATTTGAAGCTCCAAATTTTCATTAAACTGTGAATTCAACTTAATACTGGGCTGGTAATGTCCCAGAGCCCTGGCAGAAGGAAATGCAAATCCTTTCTGGAGAAGCTCTCCTTCAAAAAAATTCCCTCAAATAAGTTTTTAATGAAAGTTAGAAAATAACAAAGCACACAAAACAATTGAACACACAAGGAAGGATGGCACCATGAAGGAGAGCCAGTAGATAGAAGAGACATCGATCCTTCCTTAAGGAAAGACTTTGGATGTTGGAATTATTAGTCACAATTCTTGCTTTATTTGAGGAAAAATAAAAGACAAGCTTAAAAATATTCGCAGGCCATAGGAAGTTATAAGGAATGACCAATCGTATTTGAAAAGGCACCAAATCAACCTTCTAGCCAACTCTGCTGGTTGCCTTACCAACATCCAATCCAATCCAATTTCCACACACATGTACACCTTCTTACCCCCTTAGAGTACCCTGATTTTATTTAGGAATCCACCGTTTTTTTGTTGCCCACACGTATTTAACAATACAGTTTTACACAGAATGCTAAGAGCACTTTTCTTCATATTTTACAGAAGGGCTCAAAACAATATGGATCTTCTATTAATATTCACACTGTAACACAGCCAAATCTAACTCCTAAGTAGATGGATTACAATTTGTTCAGAGTTTAAAGCCTTATTGGCAATAATCAAGGAAGGAAAAGAGCATGTAAGTTTATTTTACGTAACTGACTAAAAAATAAATTCAAGAAACAGTAAATAAAATTTAATATGGTCTCTGCGCTCTGATTTGGAGGAGTTTTTGCTGCATCTGAATAACCCCCTGTTTGGCACTCCTGTGCCTGCAGCGTCATGAATCATCGGTCCCCTTTCTGCCAGACATCGTGCTGCCAATCTCCTTTACTCCAGGGCCAGGTCTTTTAAGATCTGTAAAAAATAATTACAAAATTGAAGCATATGGCTTTCTTTCTAGCCTCTGGGTAGACTTCTTTTACTAAACTAGTCACTTCTTTCAAGGTTGCATCCATTCAAATGTAGATCTGCTGCCTGCTGGCCCTCAGGAGACCTGGTCCAGTCCATTCAACCATTGCTGGTGGTGAAGACCACCGCCGAAGCAGCCGGCATGTCTTCTCCCAGCCAGGGCGACTCCACCACCATCTTCCTCCCACCGCCAACAAGATGCTCGCTGTGAGCGCTGCAGCAGGCCACCACACACCATGTTTCACACGGCCACGTGCTTTAGGGGCTGGCCTCAGTGCATCTTGATTGGTTCAAACCAGTCATGTA